CGGCGTGGCGTCGGGGTAGCTGTGCCGGCAAGAGAATCGAGGTGAAAGATGCCAAAGACAAAGAAAAACAACCAAACCCAACCCTTTCCCGCCATTTGAGGGGGGTTCCAGCGGCACGGCGGAAGGTGTCGGGTTTTTTTCCTCAAATTTGGGTTTTTTTAGGATTTTTTTGGCGGATCCCGCCTCCAAAGCGACCCCCGGGGAGACGCCAACCGCCTTCGCCGCGGGACTCACAGGGTGTTCATGTTGCGGATGGCCCGGCGGGACATGATGGCGTCCGTCACCGCCTTCTTAAACTGCCTGGAAGAAAAAGAGAAGGAAGCGGTGGGATGACGGCGACGGCCGTGCCGGCACCGGAGACGGCGCCAAAGTCAACTCACCTCATGGCCAGGTACATGGGGCGGATGGCGAAGAGCGGGAAGGTGTGGACTTTGATCATGATGGTCATGAAGGCCATGTAGAGCAGGACTTTGATGAAACCTGGGGGGAAAGGAGGAGATCGGGGTCTTGTTCTTGGCCAACCAGAGGTTGGGAGAGGCGGGAGGGGATCTCCGAGGTCACACGGTCTTGTTCTTGGCCAACCAGAGGTTGGGAGAGGTGAGAGGGGATCTCCGAGGTCACACGGTCTTGTTCTTGGCCAACCAGAGCTTGGATGAGGTGGGATGGGACCTCCAAGGTCAACTGGTCCCACGTTCTTGGCCAACTAGAGGTTGGGTGAGGCGGGAGGGGACCTCTGAGGTCACGTGGTCTTGTTCTTGGCCAACCAGAGGTTGGGAGAGGTAGGAGGGGATCTCCGAGGTCAGCTGGACCCACGTTCTCAGCCAACCAGAGGTTGGGTGAGGTAGGATGGGACCTCCAAGGTCACGTCGTCTTGCTCCGGGCCAACCAGAGGTTGGGTGACAGCGGGAGGGGACCTCTGAGGTCACGTGGTCTTGTTCTTGGCCCACCAGAGGTTGGGTGACAGCAGGAGGGGACCTCTGAGGTCACGTGGTCTTGTTCTTGGCCAACCAGAGGTTGGGTGACAGCAGGAGGGGACCTCTGAGGTCACGTGGTCTTGTTCTTGGCCAACCAGAGGTTGGGTGACAGCAGGAGGGGACCTCTGAGGTCACGTGGTCTTGTTCTTGGCCAACCAGAGGTTGGGTGACAGCAGGAGGGGACCTCTGAGGTCACGTGGTCTTGTTCTTGGCCAACCAGAGGTTGGGAGAGGCGGGATGGGACCTCCGAGGTCACACGGTCTTGTTCTTGGCCAATGAGACATTGGGTGAGGTGGGAGAGGACCTCCAAGGTCACCTGGTCTTGTTCTTGGCCAACGAGAGGTTGGGAGAGGCGGGGGGTGACCTTTCTCCAGCTGGAAAAGGTCCCCGTGGATGGTGCGGCGCCACCGCGGTGCAACCACCAACTCCTCCTGCTTCGGCCTCACCGGAGGGAACGCTCTGCCTCGTCATCCAGATCGTTAACGAAGTGGGATCAGAGCGTTGGGTGCCGGGGAGCAGCCCCGAGACTTCACATCGCCGTTGATCGACGGCTAATTGAGCTTCGTAACGATGTAGCGTTACCGGGCCACACCCAGCTGGCAAAGCCCCGCCCCCAACCCCCAAAATTGGGTGAAAAGAGGAGAAAAAAGGGGCAGAGAGGAGCAGGTACCCGTGAAGAGCTCGGTGTAGAGCATGTAGACGGCTTTGCTGTCCCACGGGTTCTCGTTCTGCAGGTCGATGGAGTGCAGGACGTACTTGATGAAGATGGTGAGCACCATGGTGATGAGGATGGCGTACTGCGGGGAGGAAGAGCGCGGGAGGGCGTCAGGACCCGCCCGAGGAAACCGTTTGTCCCTCCCCAAGGGGAAGGCGTCTCCCACCTCAAAGCCGAAGACGAGCTGGACCGAGGCTCCCCGCGTCAGGATGCTGTGGTAGGCGTGGTTCACGAAGAGGAAATCCAGGATTCCCAGCAGGAACATCAGGGCTGCGGCGGGGAGGAAGAAATCGGGATGAGGGGATAACGAGGAAAGGAGATAACGAACCTCGAGGCGGGGTGGAGGGGGGAAGACACCCAAAAGGCTGGAGGTCTCGCCCCCAAAACGTTGCCCCCCCCCCCACCAGAAGAGCGGGACCCTCGAGGAGCATCGCTCCCCGGGGGGGTGCTAAACGGCTCTGCGCTAATAAAGAGCTCAATTAACGCATCCCGGTAACGAGGCTGTCTCGTTTGAAGGCTCCTCTGCTTCCAGCCACGCTTTGTGTCCTCGCAGCTCACCAAACCCCTCCCACAATTCCTTCAAAAAGGGATTTTTACATCCCTAAACGAGGCAGAAACATATTTTGCGGTGAATCCGGCATCGTATTTTTCCCCACCCGGCAAAGCCGGACCTCGTTAAACCCCCAGCGACCCCATCCACGCTCCCTCGTTAACGAAACCGCCCTGATAAGGTTAATCAAGCGCCAATGGTCACACGCTTGGTCGCACCGGGTTCTTCCCCCTGCCCCGGGTCGTATGCAAACGCGTCACCAAAATTATCTTTCCTGACCAGCTGGCGGCAACGCCCCCAACGGCAAAGCGCCGGCGGCCGGGCAGGATCCGGCCCAAGGTGGACAAAACCAAAACACTCACAGACGATGCGGAAGTGGAAGAGCCAGGAGATGTTGGGGCTCCTTTCCATCTGCACAAAAAGCGGAGGGAAAGTTGAGGTTTTCCCCAAAAATGGCTTTTTTCCGCCCGTTTTCTCGCCACCCGGCACTCACAAAGTCCACCCGGTCTTCAGCCAACCAGTGGAAGCACTTGAGGAAGAGGAGGAGGGTGAAGAGGGCGACGAAGCGAGGGCTGAAGTCGTCCCTGAAGACGGTGAAGGCCAGGCAGGTCTCGGTCACGGCGTACCACGACCGCTCCAGAAGGTGCTGTGGGAGAGGGGGAGGCGGTGAGGGGGGGGCGGGGGCTTCCCCCCACCCTTCACCTCCTGGTTTTGAACCCAAAATGGCGTCGAAAGCCTCTCGGGGTTCAAAATTCCCCCCCAAACTGGAGGCAGAGGACTCTCAGGGTTCAAAATCTCCCCCCAAAATGGCATCAAAGGCCGCTCAGGGTTCAAAATTCTCCCCAAAATGGAGTCAGAGGAATCTTGGGGTTCAAAATCCGCCCCAAAAACAGAGCCAAGACCTCTCAGGGTCCAAAATTCCCCCCCAAAATGACATCAAAGGCTTCCCGGGGTTCAAAATTCTCCCCAAAATGGAGTCAAAGACCTCTCAGTGTCCAAAATCCCCCCCCAAATGGCATCAAAGGCCTCTCGGGGTTCAAAATCCACCCCAAAACCAGAGCCAAGACCTCTCAGGGTCCAAAATTCTCCCCCAAATGAAACAAAAGGCTTTTTGGGATTCAAAATCCTCCCCCAAAGCAGAACCAAAAGCCTCCCAGGGTCCAAAATCCCTCCCAAAATCGCATCAAAGGCTGCTCAGGGTTCCAAATTCCTCCCCCAAATGACATCAAAAGCTTCTCGGGGTTCAGTATCCCCCCCAAAATGGAGCCAGAGGAGTCTCAGGGTTCAAAACTCACCCCCCAAAATGGAGCAGAAACCCTCCCGGAGTTCAACATCCCCCCAAAACGGAGCCAAAGGACTCTCGGGGTTCAGAAATCCCCCCCAAAACCCTTCAGTATCCGCACATCCCTGGGGGCTTGAACTCCCCCAACAGCTCCGCCGTCGCCTCCAGCACCAGCACCGGATCTGCACGTCCCCGGCGTCAAATTTAAACCGCTCCCCGCCGTCACTCACCTCCATCTCCGCCGCCCGCAGCTGCCCGAAAAACACCTTGCCCATAAATTTCCCCAGGAGAAAAACCAACACGAAGGCCTGGATGTAGAGAACCTGCGGGGGGAAAAACCGGGAAGGCGATGGGGAAGAAACCGCGGTGCAGCCAAAACTCGTTTCGGTGACAACCGGATGCAGGGGAGGGTTTGGCGCCACAAATTTGGGTCCCGAGGGATGGAGGAGACAGCGATCGGGTACCGGCTCGGCCCCAATCCCGTTATGGGGCTGCCCGACGGCTCCTGTGGCGGCAGGAGGAGGCGACAGCGGCGTCTTCCCGCCCTCCCCGTGCGCCGATCGGCGCTGCCGCGGATCTCGGCACAGGTGCTCGCTCCCCGGTGTTTTCGGTGAGCGCCGTTAAACAGAACACGATCAGTTTTGGTCGCCAAAAGCAGAAGTGAGCCGTGACGAGAGCTCCCACCCCCCCTCCAGTGCCGCACCGTGCCAGCTGGGAGGCTCGCTCCCCACCCCAGCCCAGCGCGGATTAATTACCCG